CTATTCCCCTCCTACCAATTGTCAAAAAATATAAATATATATATAACAAAATAAGTCTCCTCCCTGATCGGTGACTTTACTTGGGTCCACTGCTCTTTATCAACAAAATTGTTTTCATTATTGTTTTTATCTTCTCTTACACTTGCTGATACATTGATAAAATTACTTCTGCAGATGTTTTGGTGGCTGATGTTACTTTTTTTTTTTGTCAATGATGGAATTATTTTTTTTGAGTTGGATATGATTGGTGATAGTGAAACTGAATCACATCACCGTTTAATTTGCAACCAAGTGATTGGTTTGTTGCTTTGTAATGATGCTCCATTGTCTCTCAAAACCTGGTGACATCTTTTGAGTTGTTTTTACACCATGAATGCAACAGTGACTTTTGTACTCTATCTGGGATATGATCAGGTTGAGTTATTGAGCTGGGTTAGGCTTGTAAGCTTTGAATTAGACTGCTCAGCTTAGTATTGTTTGATTTGATTTGTATGTTCAAAATCCGAGAACATATGTTTAGCATGTGTAATGAAATAGACTTGTTTCCAATTTTGATGTTGCTAGTCAAACATGGTAGATATCTTTCAATTTCACTTTTAGTCTGCTGGAATTGAATTTTTTTTAAAAAAAGTTTTTCTTTGTTGTTACTTCATGCTACATTGTGAAAGCCCTCATTTATGTATTTTTGATTGTATCACAAGGGGAGAAATTGTGATGTTTTGTTTTGGAAAGATGTTTTGAAATGATGTTATGTTTCGCATTGGTGATGATTTGCCTAAATGTTTTGCCTTAGGAAAGTTAGAACATCAAGATGAACTTTTCATTATAAAAACCTGCTATGTTTTTTTTATAATTGGTATTTTCTTGACTTTATGGCTGGCTAAAAAAAAACGGATCGGATTATTCGGATCGGATATCCGCGTAAAACGGATCGGATCGGATCACGTATAATCGGATTTTCAATAATCGGATTCGGATTTTGATTAATGGTTAATCGGATCGGATCGGATTTTGGCAGATTCGACCCGGATCCGACCTGTTGACAGGCCTAACTCCAACCATGGTTTTGAAAAAGACCCCAAGCCAGAGCCCATAGTAGTCCCTAATTAAGCCACCAATTCCAGCTTTATCAATTCCGCTTTTGACCGCTCCATCCACATTGACTTTTACCCAAGGGAATTGTAGAGAGTACCATTTCCAACTCCCACCTGGCAACCATTCTTTGGCCAAAGAATTCTAGCAAAGTGTATACTTCCAATACCACTTGAAGAATATCTTCAATCGATTTGCTGAGCCCAGCCAATGACAGATCCTTAAAACAGTTTACTATGACAAAACCAAATAAACTCAATAGCACCCAAAAATACCATAGCCCATTGTCCAACCCCAACGCTAGACCAAGTCACAACACAAATTTGAGTCAATCCATTCTGGTAACGGCAAATTGAAAAAATCATCTCTCCGATTGACCTTGACTAGATTGTCCCAAATGAACGTTCGTAACGCATGGAGGGTAGATTCATCACAATGCCACTATCAATAATTCTTCTTCTAATCTTCATTCTGTTCGGAAGATAGCTATTATTTCAAGCAAGTCAAAGCCAAAATTCCTATCTAAAAAGGACTAATATTTTGAAACGAAATAAATAATAATTTTTAATTAAAATCAACACCTGTACCCAAAAAAAAACAAAATAAAATATAATACTAATAATAATACTTTACCTTCTTATCCACCTTTACTTTGTTGTATTTCAATTAAACATCAACGTTGATGACCCTTTTAATATTTGCAATGCAAAGTTCAACTTTTAGAAGTTTCATTTTTATTTTTATTTTTACAATAAATATATTCTTCTTTTTTAATTTAAAAATTAAGGTATTTATCTATTAATTGTTGCTGTGGGTTTAATTATAGAGTAAATTACATTAGGAGCACTTAAATTGTTTACTTTTTTCAATTAAATCCCTAAACAATATTTTCACTGAAATAAACCCTCTAACTTCTCAAATTAATTCAATTTAGGCCTTCTAATACATTCTTAGAGAGAGTAATGAAATACAAATAGAAAATTCATACAGGATTTTCATAATTAATGATGTGGCTTAATAGTGACCTTTCATTTTAAAATAAAATACCTATAAAAATAATTTATATTTACAACATCAACACTATCACAGCCTTTTGTAGTATTTTTTATGGAGAGGCTTCTTGTTAGTTAAGTATCTCAACTAGAGAGTGTTGTTAACCCTTTGTGGGTCTACCACGAAACTCACATCGATGATCCGAACCGTCCAATATGTAACGCTTGTCGAGTACTCCATCTCTGTAAAAAAATCATATTGATCAGGTATCGATAGTCATTTGATCAAATCTAATTTGTATAAATAATTTATTTTAAAAATCATACTTATGCTATGATCTGATCAAGTGAATATCGATATTCGATTAACGTGATTTTTTAAAAGGGATGAAATATTTGACGAGCCTTATGCATTAAATAGTTCGGATTATCAATGCTGATTCCTTGGTGAGTTTACAAAAGCTCAACAATACCTTCCAATCTAATTTGGACCAGAGAGAAATTGTGCACCTATTTTTTATATAAACTTTATATATGAATGAAGTCTACCATATATATATACTCGCGTATGCCCGTGCCTGAAGGCACGATGTAAATAAATAAATCCTAAATAAATGGAACTCACCACAACTTACCAATTACCAATATTGCTTAACTAAACAAATTAAAATCACAAATCTAACAGAGAAGCAGCAATAAATTGTAAATAACATAAAATTAACTTTTATTAATACAATAGTAAAAAATAAACAATTTCTCTAAAATTAATATTACTATATAACATTCTAATAATTTAATATAAAACTTGTTCCACACTATATAAACAACGTAAAACAACAAAACATACTCAAAAATCACTTTCCGCAGTTTCATATGCATAAATCTAAAAACAAAAACAACAAAACAAAACAAAATTTGTCCAAAATCGATTACCAAGTGTAAAGTTATGACATGTTAAAGATGTAATCCCACAAATGTTTTTTTTTTAAGTTTCAGGTATCTCTATCTGTCCAAATTGATGTACGCATTTTTCAATTTTGAAAACAAATAAGTTAAAATAATTTAAACATATAAGTAAAAATTTATTAATTAAAATAAGTGGACAGATAGGTTAAAAATATGAGAAGATATGTTAAAATAATTTGGACAAATAGGTTCAAAAAAAATGGAGTTAAACCCATATAAGGATAGAACTAATAAGAGGCTGATTAAAATCATAAAACAACCCGAATTGAATTAGTCAAGGTCTGAAGATTACATTAACAACATTTTCTACACTCACCTTAACATTGCTATCATGAACTGGGTGTTATCATCAAATGATGCCTGCAAAAATCAAGTCAAGATAATAAAAAAATACTGGATCAATTATGTTCCAAATGCATCATGTGATCTTAAATGGATTAGGCCTGTTACCATTTTTGAGAACAACAATTGATGTTCCACACATAATTGTCTGGAAATTTCTTGAATAATAGATACGAATGAATGAGAGAAAAGAAAATAAGAACAAATAGAAACTTTTCCAGAATAAAAAAGCAATCCTACAACACTTTTATTTGAATTTCATAGAGAAGAGTCTGAGAAATATTGCAGAAGCAGATAAGCAATATCACAAATGTGCATACTAAAGTAAGCAGCATTGGCTTGTGCCCAAAAACTAAAACACAAACTTCCAAGGGGTACTGTACATTGCTATCTGGCAAGATGTCATTCATGTTGTAACTCTTATGCATTAGCTTCACATAGTCCATTGTCTTCCTTTCCCTCAAGAGTTTAAGGTTACAACCAAGTCTTATGTGATTCACAAAATCATTTCACAGAGTGCTGCCATTTGAATTCATTGTTCCTTTCTAGTAATTAATTGATGCAATAGATCCAATAATTGCAAAGTGCAACCGTAGGGAAAGATTTAATGAAGTAAAAGGTCTGTGCCATTTTGATTGATTTGAATGGTGAATTATTGCTACTATCTGTTAAAACATGTCAAATGTAACAAAGAGGATTGATGATAGTAAAAATGGAGTTAAACCCATATAAGGATAGAACTAATAAGAGGCTGATTAAAATCATAAAACAACCCGAATTGAATTAGTCAAGGTCTGAAGATTACATTAACAACATTTTCTACACTCACCTTAACATTGCTATCATGAACTGGGTGTTATCATCAAATGATGCCTGCAAAAATCAAGTCAAGATAATAAAAAAATACTGGATCAATTATGTTCCAAATGCATCATGTGATCTTAAATGGATTAGGCCTGTTACCATTTTTGAGAACAACAATTGATGTTCCACACATAATTGTCTGGAAATTTCTTGAATAATAGATACGAATGAATGAGAGAAAAGAAAATAAGAACAAATAGAAACTTTTCCAGAATAAAAAAGCAATCCTACAACACTTTTATTTGAATTTCATAGAGAAGAGTCTGAGAAATATTGCAGAAGCAGATAAGCAATATCACAAATGTGCATACTAAAGTAAGCAGCATTGGCTTGTGCCCAAAAACTAAAACACAAACTTCCAAGGGGTACTGTACATTGCTATCTGGCAAGATGTCATTCATGTTGTAACTCTTATGCATTAGCTTCACATAGTCCATTGTCTTCCTTTCCCTCAAGAGTTTAAGGTTACAACCAAGTCTTATGTGATTCACAAAATCATTTCACAGAGTGCTGCCAGCTTTCTGAATTCATTGTTCCTTTCTAGTAATTAATTGATGCAATAGATCCAATAATTGCAAAGTGCAACCGTAGGGAAAGATTTAATGAAGTAAAAGGTCTGTGCCATTTTGATTGATTTGAATGGTGAATTATTGCTACTATCTGTTAAAACATGTCAAATGTAACAAAGAGGATTGATGATAGTAAAAATGGAGTTAAACCCATATAAGGATAGAACTAATAAGAGGCAAGACCACAGAAATTAGAGAGGCTTTAGTTCAAATAGGAACTAATGCAATAAAAAAGGAAAGAACAAAGAGAACAATGGTAATACTATCTTGATCACTGAAAACAACTTCGTTGGAGGCACAGAACAGAATGAAATGGACAGCTCAAGAAAACCCAACTGTCGATTAGTCAAGGTCAGAAGACTACATTAACAACATTTTCTACACTCACCTTAACATTGCTATCATGAACTGGGTGTTATCATCAAATGATGCCTGCGAAAATCAAGTCAAGATAATAAAAAAAATACTGGATCAATTATGTTCCAAATGCATCATGTGATCTTAAATGGATTAGGCATGTTACCATTTTTTAGAACAACAATTGATGTTCCACACATAATTGTCTAGCAATTTCCTGAATAATAGATAAGAATGAATGAGAGAAAAGAAAATAAGAACAAATAGAAACTTTTCCAGAATAAAAAAGCAATCCTACAATCCTAAAGGCATTGATAATTCTAAAGCTAATAAATTTAAGAATGTTAATCCTATCTAATTCAGCCTGCCTAAACAAAGAATAACTTAGGATTCAACTCTTTCGTCCCCTACAATATATTGAGAAAGAGTAAAATTATTGAATGGACATCCTATAACTTTTAAATGCACAATAAACTTGTAAGAGAACTGTAGTAACCTGTTTGGTTGTATTTTCATTTTCTTTGTTTTCAAAAACAAAAACAATGAAAAGTTCAAAAACATCCATCATTTTCAGATCCTGCAAAAACCAATTCCAAAAATTTGAAAACATTTATGGTTGCCTACCCATCAATATGATAACAAAGTATGGGTTTCATTCTGGCACATATTCTCTAAACCCTAAATTGATAATGAGCACAATCCCCGTATGCACACTAAAAAAAATGGAATGCGGTCCAGCAGGTTAGTGAGAGGGAGAATGCCATCCCTAGTGTTGTCCTGAACTTCCCAATTCCCATTTTGCAGCCTCCACAATCAACCATTTAATAGGAGGGTTGGGAAAGGGGGCAGTCCCATTCAAAAATCATGCCTATGTATCATGTTACAACAGCTTTGGAAATTTATTCCTAAGTCTCAAAAATTATTGGCCTATTAATAGATATAGAAAATTTAAGTCAAGAAAAATAAAAAACCAAAATTAATGTACAATATACAGATAGCGAGAGCGCCGGGGGGGAGGGGCGTGAAGTCCTTTTGGATAAGTAAGTTTACTAACTCTCTGTTTCTGCTTCAGGACATAGCATCCCTCCGTCGATGTCACCATCTTTCTTATCAGAAGCTACCTCAGTCTTCTCCTCTTCCACTATGCTCCTCTGCTGCAACTCCTGCTTCAACCTTGTGATCTCATCATCCTTCTCTTCTACACTATCTTGCAAGATAAGCACCTGCAATAGAATAGAACCCATGTTCAAATTGCACATCTCAATCAAGCAATCTCAGCTGCACACAATGTCATCAGTTCTAGTGTATTTGTAAATTAAGCTTGTCTCATTGCGTGTTCAGTGTTAGATAAAAAGGCACATAATTTCTTGCCAATTGGACCATCTAAACCATACTAGAGATTCTTTAACAAAAAGCTGTAACATTTGAAACATTTAAGACTATAGCCATAATTAAATTAAACCATCAATGGCCAATTGAAAGTTGAACATGCAGCTTTTTCATAAAACCAGCAGCAGCATAATCAAACAGAACAGAGAAAAAAAAAAACCAAAAACCAGAGCAAAAGCCCCAGCAAAACAGCACACAACATCAGCAAAAATTGAAAACAACTCCATTAAACAACTCCCAAAACAACTCTTATTATATAGACATGTATATATATTGAATTAATGGTAGTTTTTATGAATTTTGATGTTTGGTAACATAAAATTAATCTCAATCGTAAATAAATATATATATAAATAAATATAAAAAAAATTTGCCATGTCCCCTGCCATGTCCATGTCCCCATTTTTTTAAAATCATCGTGTTCCATGCCAGTGTCTGTATCCGTGTCCGTGCTTAATAGGCTAGGGTCACTTACCTCAATTGAGAGGTCAAGGTCAATTCTTGTGAAAGTAAAGACTGATTATTTCTTTCATATTAGCTTTTCTTTAGTTGTTATTCTTCCCTTTATGGACTCTTTTCATATATTAAGAGAGGTTAGTGTCAATTTCTAGTCAAAGTAGAGACTAATTATTTATTTCATATTAGGTTTTTCTTTAGATGTTATTTTTTCCCTTTAAACTCTTTCGTATATTAATATAGTGGCTGTGATGTTGAGTTTGCGGGTAGGGAGTTGTGGTGCATATTCTAAAAATGGCATACTGTATTACCACAACAAACTTAACATAACCACAATTTCATATATTAATATAGTGGCTGTGATGTTGAGTTTGCGGGTAGGGAGTTGTGGTTCATATTCTAAAAATGGCATACTGTATTACCACAACAAACTTAACATAACCACAATATTCCGTAACAAATACCTTGACATGTAACTTTTCTCACCAAAATGATTTGTCACTACAAATGGTTGGTAACATTTTCACCACATCGTTCATAACTAATCAACATAATCACAATGGTTTAGAACTTTCACTTTAGGTGCACATCATAAATTCCCCATTCATAACTTTTACCCAAAAAAATTCATAAATTTCTTATGATAGGAGTGTGCATATTAGCATTTTCGTTGCAGGTATATATAATTGGACTTTCTTACGTAATTACTTATTCTATTTAATGTAATTTTCTAATATATTTTGTAAATATTCTCCTCCCAATTGACTAAAATAAAAATTAAAAACTTTAAAAGGAAGCAAGCTAGTAAACATGAGTGATCTCACCTGGATAGTTCTTTTCCTTAGCATAGGAAGGTCTGAGAGTATGAAAAGCTCACAAAGTCTCAAAATTGAAGTCTGAATTCTTCAAATGTATGTATCAACAAATAAATCTTTGCCAAAACCCAGAAATGCCGACCCCCAGAACTCCACAAATCAGCCAAATCACCAGATTGGTTATTGACTTCCTCTGCATTTGCTCACAAAACCCAATAAACCCTCAATTGGGTATTTCAAACAAATCACCAAATTACCATATTTATAGGTGTTGAATCAAGAAAACCTTACCAACATGGAAATAAGGGTTAATGTGTACTATTCCTGTGTAGTACTAACCTGGGTTTGTAGTACAAATCGATTGGAGCATTAATGAAGTCTAAATTTAGCACCTCTGGCTCACATCATTTTTATCGAACAGTTAGTGGGCAAGATTGCTCCTCCTTCAGATTGACTCCACTGTTTTATATAATATGATAGAGAAAAAGAGAGAGAGAGAGAGAGAGGTGTTTTACTTTCGGGTATGGCAAGGGTTTTGGAGAGAGAGAGCTTCTCGTCTGGGATTGGGACCAGACTTTTCTCAGATGGTGTGGCCATCGGATTAGCTTCTGATTCAACTTTCATCGGCCACTTGGGACTCTGCTGCTACTGCTCTCTCTTTCGCCTTTCGTTGAGGAGGAAGATGGTGGGTGAGATTGTTCTGTTAAAGCAGAAGAATAGAGAGTGGGAGAGAGATAGAGAGGGAATGTGGGATAGTCGCGGAGTTGGATCAATGGCGACGATGATGATGAGCAGCGACGGTGGTGGTGAACGGCGGCAGCGGATCGGTGGTGGTGTTTGGTGAAGGATGAAGAAGGGTAAAGGTAACAACAGGAGATCAGGTTTTTTTTTATTTTGAAGAGAGAACGTGAGAGAGAAACCTATAGAGAGGGAGTTGAAGAGATATGTTTAGGCAAACGTGGGGGAGAGAGAGAAGAGAGCATTTGGGCGAGAATCAAACACGTCTCAACCATTGATATTTATTAGAATGGATCTAAACCCATGATTCAAAATGTTTCTCTCATACATTTTAACACATTTTCAAAAAACCTCTTGCCTTATTATATAGATACTATTTGAAATAGTTAATAGTAAATAAAATATTCATAAAACATGTACGGTCAAAGCAGATGAGATGTGCCATCAAATTTTTTCTTTGTTTTTTTCTTAAATAATTACAGAATTTATACAAAAATTTTAAAAAAAAATTAAAATAAACAATCTGAGATGTATTTTGATACTTAAAAATAAATAATAAATAAATACCATTAACAGCCCAAACAATTTGTCGGTGGAAAGAAGTGGCCACTCAGTCCTTTGCGAGCTCTGTCTTCCACATATTTTGTTGCATTCCTACTGAAAAAAATAATAATATATCAAAACAATTTGAATATATAGATTTGACCTTTGTTAGTCTGTTACTCTTTAGTTTGGTATCTCTCCCAAATAACTACACAACGTATATAATCAAAGCCACAAAATATATGATAAAACCAAATCATCAAGCCCAGCTGAGTAATTATCAAAGCCCAAACAAAAATAACACCAAATCCACTTGAGTGATGTTGCAACCTAAGCTGCTGAGCTGCTGAAGTGGTTGGAGTGATGTTGCAACAGAGCTGCTGTCGGATTGAACGACAGTCGGAGTGAGCTATGAGACCTAGAATGGTTTTGAGTGGATGCTTTTTTTTTCCCTCCATTTTAGCATTGGATACTATCATGAGCTAAATTTATATTAAAGAACTGGTAGTTTTGGGTCCAAAATATAAAAATACCATCTGGAGGTGGAGATTAAATGATGGTTCACACAAATTTAAATTGAATGTATCTTTGAGCTCTAATGAAGGCAGAGAGAGAAATGAGGATAGAGAGAAATGAGAGGCAAAAGGTGAGAGAGAAATGGGTACAGAGAGGGAGTTTAAAATTTGAAATCAGTTGGGCAGGAACCATCATTTAATCTCAGCAGTTAGATGTTGATTAGGTATCTCAGCCATCTCAAGAAGTCAAAAAATTTGAACAGATAGTAAAAAAAAGTCAATAAAAAAAAGTCGAGTTTTCTCTAAATGGGCATATGCGGTCGGTCAAGGGGGCTATAGACGATGTTTGGATCCATAAAAGCAAACCTAGCGTAGGTCCGTGCCTAAAGACACAATGTAAATAATTTTAAGATTAAAATGCAGTTATAATTTATACGTATTATGTTGAAATTTATAAAGTTTGTGTCATTTTTTTATAAAGATACTAAAAAAATATATTGAAATATTTTTATTCTTAAAGAACTTATAACAATTTTGCTTGTATTACACGCTCTACAAAACTCAAATAAAATAACTCCTCCTAATCTTAATGCAAATTAAAAAACAAACATATAAGATTTAAAGTTATATTGCATATCAAAAACATAAAAGGCAATAAAAAAAATTGTATATCTAAAAGTAAATTGAACAATTTAATTCCCAATAGAAGGCATATCAAAAATATAAAAGGCATATCAAAAATTTTAATCCAGATGATAAATTACATTAAACTGGATAAATTACATTTTAAGATCAAGTATTATATATCTATCTATTATTGTAGATTAATCTATTATTGCAAAACATTTACAAATGATAATATTAAATTTAAAAAAAAACGTAAACTAAAAGCAAATTGAACAATTTAATTCCCAATGGAAGCCAAGCAACATATTAAAGAAGTAGGATACCTTTAATGTATAATCAATTTTACTCCCCAATATTACTATATGTGAGAGAGATTTCATATTAAAAAAATTTAAAATAAGACCTATCAAATACCATGAGCTTCTTAAGACTCAACACACAGATTGCAAAGATCTATGTGTAAAATCAAATAGAGAGGAGCACTAAAGATCTTTGCAATTTTCTTATTTGTATAATCAATTTTACTCTCCAAAATTACTATATGTGAGAGAAAGATTTCATATTTGAAAAATATAAAATAAGACCTACCAAGTACCCATGAGCTTCTTAAGACTCAGCACACAGATTGCAAAGATCTATGTGTAAAATCAAATAGAGAGAGGAGCACTAAAGACCTTTGCAATTTTCTTATTTGTATAATCAATTTTACTCTCCAAAATTACTATATGTGAGAGAAAGATTTCATATTTGAAAAATATAAAATAAGACCTACCAAGTACCAATGAGCTTCTTCAGACTTACCACACAGATTGCAAAGATTTATGTATAAATTGTCACAAATTTTAGTCAACACTATTACAATGAGCACACAACAGGTTCTAATTGCTTATTTGGAGTCTTTTGTTGTTCCAATTCTACGTGCACTGAACATATAAAGCTGATCAAGAAGGCTTATTCTTTCCAATTTTGCTACTTGTATTTCAAGCATCTCCTTGAATATAGCTAGCTATGAGACCTAGGATGGTTTTGAGTGGATGTTTTTTTTTTCCCCTCCATTTTAGCATTAGATACTATCATGAGCTAAATTTATATTAAAGAACTGGTAGTTTTGGGTCCAAAATATAAAAATACCATCTGGAGGTGGAGTGTGATCATAACATTATGGAGTCATCAGCCAATTGCTTTTGTCTCTTGATTATGACTTAGCTTATGCCTAATGGGATTGGTATTTACTAATGAAATTGATTGGTTAAAGAGTTTCATTCCCTGAAGATATGTCATTTATTAGAATGTTACTTTGAACCACACACACATAATTTGTTTAGCATGCATCTATTGATACAAATAGGTATTATTTTGTACATATATTAAGACTTTCATAATATGAAAAAATGAACTTATAATTTTAATAATTTTGTAGGAAAAATGGAATCATTCACAGTATTAATCTGTCAAAGTCCAACTGCACATTTATTAATGGCGTCAGTTCTATTTTCTATGTGGGGATAACTATCACATGGAATCTCTGGTATATTTGTGGCATTTTTGAAGTATCCATGCACATGTCCATGTGTGATGGAAATTGATCTATATATCTTGCCAGGTGATGTCTGAAAATCAGAATCCAATCCATGTGGAACATGGTGGTGTGCTATCTAGAAAGAGAGGCATGATTTGTGAAAGTGTAGTGAATTAAATGTGAAATAGAATGCTTATCCATTGAGATTTCATCACATGACCAACGGGTGAGGCCTCAACCTTGAGGCAGAACCTTGATATAAATCTAGCAAGCTAAAATTATGGAAAAAAAGCTTCTTAACCTAGCAACCCACCACCAAGCTAAGATATGCATATACATATATATGATCAATTACATGCCCAAGATGACTACTAAAATGAAGCATATTCAGTTGACAGAGGACTTGAAAAAGTGAAACAGGAAAAATTCCAAACTATTTAAGTCTAAGTCAGTCTAAACAATTGAAGTTGATAAGATAAAAAAATCCAAGACACTCATTTTATATTATTTTTTTAAGAGCATTGAATTTCATTTTAAATAACAAACATAGAAAAATCAAAATTTTAAATACTGAATTTCTACACAAACAAACAAACAAACAAAAGCTTATTAAGTCTAAAAAATTGCGAACATTTGTGATAGTACAAACAAACAAACAAACCAAAATACGAACACATAATAAATTATACGAAAACATAATAAATTATAAACACATAAACACAAAAAAGGGAGTTGTTAACATAATAAATAGGAACATTGGTGATAAAAAATTTCTGATTTAGATGTGAGAGGAAATTTAGATGTTATTTCTGATAATTTAGATGTTATTAACCTAATAAATAGGAATTTCTATATATTCATATGTGTACACTTAAAAAGCTTACAAATTTATTAGAATCTATTACTTAAGATGTTGGATTTGGAGTTTGAAATTAATTAAAAAAATTTGTCCATATCATCATCTGGACCCCTAAAAAGAATAATCAATTATAGAGGCAAAGAACTATATAATGTTTGTGAGTTTTTGGAGCTAAAATGGAGAAAACAATTTTCTTTTTCTTACTATAGCAACTCACTAACAACACTGCATGGACATAGACTTCACACCCACTTAAAAATTATTAACATGACTCTGAAAAAAGGGAGTTGCTATGACTCTGAAAAAACCAAATTAATGGCTGAATATTGGAAGTAAATAACCATAAGCACAGAGCCAACACACTGAAAATGCAGTTAATATCCGATAGCAGGAATTCAAAAAATCTATAGCATGGGCCCAACACACTGAGAGAAAGGAGGAGAGACAAAAATTGGTAAAAAACATAGCAAAGTAATAACTGATTTTGGTGATGAAAAACAGAGCAGCCGAAGTGACTATATCATGGGGGTTGCTGCCACAAAGAGAAGGCAAAAGAGGGACTATAATTGACCCTGGTAGGCGAAGATGGCAGGTTTCCTCACGCAACATTTGAGATAGTGAGAGATTCATCTAGTTCAGGAGTGGCTAGTGTGATGTTGAGTTTGAGCCAAATAAAGATTATATATTGTTTTGGTATATGTCAGACACCAAATAAATTACATACCCAGACAAATATCTTGACAGTAAACACATTGAGCAGAATTTTTGTCTCTCATAATATATATGCATGCTCACATATCATCATCTGGACCAACTATTCAATTAA